TATATATATATATATATATATATATATATATATATATATATATATATATATATATATATATATAAAATGGGCAGTTCCTACTCAAGCGTATACTACTATATCTTTAAACCTAAGAGCGACCCCTCTGTAAACCCTGGATCCAGACTACTTAGTCCCTTCTCCCCAAACAAGTCTATGATTGGTAATCGTACAAAATAAGAATATATACTGTTCACAGTTAAACACTTTATCTTACTGTTATTTTTTGCAAGAGGGAATATTCTACATAGAGGAGCACTGGCAAAGGTGCAATTGACTTAATTACCCTTCAATTTATTTTTCAGTTAAACACAAATGATATAACAGCAGTAATACTTTAGCCAAACGGCAAAGATTCTTCTCAATACCCAACCACAACAGCTGCTTCTCAAACTGAAAATTCAACAGCAAAACACTGGTTTGTCACTGTACAATTTGGAGCCAGAATGAGTGCATTGCTGTAGACAAAAATCTTGACTTGTCAGATGTTCCAACTGGGAAGGATTCCTTCACGGGGAGGGGAGGGGAGGAGGAATAATTTTCCACTTTTGTTACCAATAAATAATCACACTGACAGCAGTATAGTATTTACAGAAAACAGAACTTAACAAAATTGGTTTAAGAATTCCCTCCCACCTGCCCCAGATGGATTTCAAAGCGAAAGGGCAAACGTCTTTTAGAGATTCAGGAGTACTTGTGGCACCTTAGAGACTAACAAATTTATTAGAGCATAAGCTTTCGTGGGCTACAACCCACTTCTTCGGATGCATATCCCTATCCCTGTATGGCATAGGAAAGGAGTCTGAACATGTGTATGTGGTTGAAGGAGTAAAAAGTGGAGGGTCAGTATTCAGTTTAATAAATCCTATTAATCTAGATACCTCATACCTGGGATAAATATTTATCACAATGTGCAGGTTTTCAGATATATGACTTGAAAACCCACAGTCACTATGGTGATATGGTTTGGTGATCAAGAGTGCATTGCTAAACAGTTCTAGTTTGTCATGATTTCCTGCCCCTTCCCTCCCCACACCAGTTGCTTTTGCAACTATGGGCCCAATTCAACATTCCCTACTCAGATGATACAAGTGTATAAAGAGCCCTTTATGGAGTCAGAGTTTACACTAAAAATACACATTTAATTTATGTTCAGCTTTTGCTTTGGAAATCCATATTTTATATTGGGCATAATTTAATAATTGCCAGATATGACAACTTTTGAAGCAGCTATTTACAGAGCTGAATTTACAACCGTCAACAAATAATCTGCATGAGTGGCTGCTACTATTAAAAGCTTTTTTTTCAGAACAGCAATATTTGTCCCACTTAGAATAAATAAATTATATCTGAGTATTTTCTGTAGGAATTTAGTCAGTTCCAAATCTGTGATGTAGCTGAAATAGTACAACACAAGAACAAAATTTGTGAAAAATATACACGGTCTGATAGGAATATACCAAGTAAACGAACATTATGATCCATTAAATTCTTTTAGCCGTTAAGAAGGTTGCCACTTCTACATCACACAGGAAAAGTAATATACCGCACAACACTGAAATAATTAGAGGAGACAAGGAGAGTTTATAACACTAGGCAGTTCTAATGTTGACTCCAGTCATTTTAAAGGACTTCTGGCTGCAGTATTAAAAATATACTTGTCACTGAGATGGCAGCAATATAGGATACGTCTTTATTAAGAAAAATGAGTAACCATCGTTGAAAACTATTTTCTCTAGTTGAGAAATTTCACCCCTCATGTCCATATTTAATTTGTTGATAACTACATATCCATGTGCAATACCTGTACTTCCATATAATAAAGTAGTCATTAAGGCACCAGTTCAGGAATGCAGCTTTGTTCACTGAAGCTAACGGACCTTCAGCACATGCTTAAGTGCCACTCCTAAACAGGAATGGATTTAAGCATGTGCTGAAGTGCTTTCCTGAATTAGGGCTTAAGAGAATTCAGTCTGAAACAGCAATGGTACAGATTTTTGAATGGAAAACCTTTTTTCACAGATATACTTAGTCTGGTTAAAAAAAAGCTATTTGTTGAATAGGCAAACTGCAGATCATCAGCAGCAAATGAGTAATTAAACCTAGACAAGGTATTTTATATATTTGTACATGTTAACTGAGCAGATGCCAGACAGCTTTGGTATAGTTGTTCAAGCAAGGATCCTCATTCTAGAAGGACAGTCACAATCAGGCTCTTATCTTATTATTCAACACTGTTGACACTAAAGTGGTCACCATTAACTCTTAATGTGACTGGAAGAAATTCACATTTTTGTTGATGGTACTTACAATCTGCACACTATACAATAAAATTTAAATAAAAAATCCGCAAACAAAAGGCTAAAATAAAATGATCTATATTCACTAGGCTTTAACAAATCATAAATCTGCTGAGTCTAAATGTTTACGTGGCTTTCTTATCCCTACCATAGAAACCGTACAAATCAAACTCTGTTTTAACAGACTACTTGTTTTAGAAGTGTATGTAGAGGGAGTACAGACATGTTTAAGTTCATCAAATTTAAAATCAAATGCAAGTTTATATGTAGCACCCCACCTGCCATCTCTTAAACAAATAGTGTTGCTCTTTCTGCTATCCTGACCTAGACATGGGACACCCTGCCTAAACTGATGATTCTGTTGTGATGCCAACAAAAAGCAACTAATAATGGCTAAGTTGAAGAGCTGTGGACAAACAATAATTGTTCTGAAAGAGTTATATTTGGATGGTACATTTTTTCCCCTCTCTTCATCAGTTAACTCTCTTCTCAGATAGCAGGCTGTACAAGGAAAAAACATCTCTTGGCCTTTAGGCATGGACACTCAAATTTGTGAGCACTACTACAGTAAAAATAATGAAATTAATATAGAAAATTGGCTTTTTCTCTTAACCTTCAATTTGTAATATAACATATATAACCATAAAAATAATCAGGATTGTACACCCTTAGGTATACGCTGCCATTAATGATATTTACATTACTTAGCATATCTTGCATAACACAGAGATTCAAAGAATAAAACACTATCATGCATGGTATACTTAAACTAAATCCTAGAAGAGAAATATTGTTATGGAACATATTTTGCTAATCATGATTGGCCAAATAGCTGATACATACAGCAGAGAATACTGAAGAGCCTTCTGTCATCTTAAACTAATGTAAATTGTAATAATGTAGTCACAAGAAGTTTAACAGCCTTCATTGTATATATCGAACAAGTGGAAGAATAAACAAATCCAAAAGGTGTATGGGAAAGACCTGTAAAACTGTTCACTCATTTACAATGTTGCAAATGTAAAAACTATATGGATGATCATAATAAAGTATTAGACCTTTCCAAGTTTAATTTCACTCTTTAGGCAAGTACAGAGATAATATACATTTAAAAATTGACATTCTTTTACAGTTTTTCACAAATCAAGGTACAGTGCAGTTTTATCAGAAAAAAGGGAATATCGATTATATTATTGTTACATTGGATGATGTTTTTGCCATTTCTTCAGGGGAGTGACTCTTTATTACTTCTTTGATGAACTGTTCAAGTGCAGTGAAATAACCTTGACACTGCCAAGTGTCATTGTGAGTTCCATCTGGAAATATTGCCAATCTCTTTGTCCGAGACGGGGATAATTCATAAAGCTGCTTCATCATAACTGGAGGAATTAACTGGTCAGATAGCCCAGAGATGAAGAGGGAAGGCATTCTGCACTGAGAGATTTTTCTGTAGGACAGGTATTGATTTTTGTAGCACCACAAAGGAAGATATCTCATTGGGAAGAAAGAAAACAAAGTGCTGGCCATATGTGGAATGCTAAGAAATGTGTTCTCCACCATTATGGCAGAAATCCTATGGGAATTTTCAGAAGCTAAATGAACCGCCACTGCTCCCCCCAAGGAACGGCCAAAAAGAAAGATTTTTGTTTTATCAAGGTCAGACCTAGTCATCACGTAGTCTAGCACAGCCTCAGAATCTAAGTATAAACCTTCTTCACTTGCTTCTCCTTCACTTTTTCCATAACCTCTATAATCAACCAGCAGCAAATTTACTTTCAAGTTTACCAGCATCAGCAAAGCATTCGGTAACCTGTGACCAATGTTGCCTGCATTCCCATGAAAATAAATGATAGTAGGAGAATACGCTGCATTGTCCCCAGTGTATCTCAACAGAATAAGATTGAGAAGAACTCCATCTTTGGTTTTGATGAAGATGTTTTCATGTGGTATACCGGTAGGCATAGGAACATAAAGGCGTGAAGAAGAGGGCTGTTCTGGGAAGTAAAGCAGTACATCCTGGAATTTATATAGTATACCTGCTATCGATACAAATATTAACATAAGTAAAGTAATGCCGCCATACAAATGAAAAGTTACTATCAAAGGTAGAAGAGAAATACGGCAGAGACCCCAAGACCATGATGCCAAAGCCAGTAGCCACCTTTCAACAAAGGTCCAAAGCATCCATGACTTTTCCATTGCAGTAGTAATTGATCTTTTAGTCCATATGTATCCTGCAAAAAAAACCAAATATACATACATAAATATCAAAAATGGAAAACAGTCAAGCAAGCATTCGTATTCCTGAAGATTATTAGTAAACCATTGCATAAACAAAAGGTAGCAACGAACTACTGTTTATTTCATCTTTTATGTAACTGGATCACTTTAATCACTTCCCAAAGTTCAACTGTAATAATCAGCAGGGCTCCTAGAAATTAATTTGTCATGGAAAACCACGGAATTCGTGTTTTTATACAGAATTTTTAGTTTTGTGAAAAAAACATACATTAGCTACAGTGGAACCCTGTTTATCTGAGCCTCCATTATCCGTCTTAACCGAACCAGGGCTGTGAGCCCCAGGCAGCAGGGCTCAGGCTTCAGCTGACAGTGGGAGCTCCGCTGCCTGGGGCTGAAGGTCTTTGCCCATTTGCCAGATTATCCAAATTTTTGATTATCTCATCTGGCCCAGTGCCAATTAGCTCAGATAAACAGAGTTCCAATGTGTATCAATAAAAGACTATGTTCAACAGATACCTATATATATTGTGGCTAGGAAAACTAAAGTTCAGCATTTCATTTTAATTGCGAAAAAATGCGGATTTTTGTGGGGGGTTTTAAGTCAGAGAATTTTGGTTTACCATCATGGAAAACTAGGATCTCTGATAATCGGTGAGAAGAGTAAAATAGGCTTTGCAACTCCTAGGAGAGTTCTCTTTTGTTTTCATTTGAATACTACTTAGTACTAATAATCCCCTCAAATACAGTGGCTGACAGCAACATTATTCCCACCCAAATTGCAGAACAAAGCATGGGCACACGGTGATTTGATCAGTTTGTAAAACTGCTTCCTGGGCATTAGCTCTAGGATCCAGAAATAAAAACGATATCACTCTTACTTCCATACCCGTGACAAGTGTCTTCAGTCTTAGACTATTTCTATATAAATTGTCAAACAGACCAACTTCCCCAATCCCTTGCAAATGCCTTGCTGCAAATATAGCCCTTAGTTACCTGAAAAAGTATTATAGCTGGATTATGACCAGATGAAATGATGAAATTGTGACGGATGCCTACTACTTGTCCCCACCCCCATTTTGTACCTATGCTGCTTAATGCCACAGTTGTTCAGATTCGGTTTAAGATTTCTGCTACCAGCTTTCTAGCCACATTTCCTCCTGATTCATTTGTTACAGGCCAGCAAGTGGGAAAGGTATTTAGCAGTATTTGTACCATCATCCACGGTGATGACCTCAGGTGGTTTTAATGTCCTACCAGGCTACTGAGAGGTCAGTTGTTTGTACCTCCTTGTGATCAGCAGAAACAATACTGGTTCAGGAGAAGATCAGGATGCCAAAGCAAGTTCATGCCCCAATGAGAAAAGTACACCCAGAGATCAAAATGAGGGACACAGTGGTCAGTCCATGACATGAGAGTAAACTCTATCCCTCCAGCTACTTATCCCAATATATAAACCAGATTCACAACATAGCCCACTATATGCATTGAGACTGATGCCAACTAGAAGAGTTATAGTAATAATGAGAAGTGGAATTAACCCCTAAAGAGTCCTTATCTAATTACTAAAGACATCTAAGAAAGTCAGTCTGAGTGACTGTCGGCTCCAGATCGGACCCTGTTATGCTGTAAGGGTGATCAGACATCAGCAACAAAACATGCTAGCTCCAACCTGAGGTTCATGCACTAAACAATCTTGGCTTTTGGACAGGAGATCGTCCTTAGAGATCACTACATTCGCTGAATTTCTCTCTCTAGTTTTATTCTTTTTTCCATGTGATTTATTCTTATTTCTAGCCTGAGTTCATCTGCAAATTTGCTAATGGAATTTACACTAAACACTCACTGGAAAAGAGTTAACAGATTTCAATTTCCGTGCAGCCACTGAATCACAATACAAGAAAACAGAACCACAAGAGTAGGCACAGAAAAATGTTAAGCACGCTGACTGAAGGACCTGATTGAAAATACCCATGGTTTGGTCTTCAAGTGCCAAGAACTGCAGGGATAATGACAAAGCAGGTGACCATAGTATGGCAGAAAAGCTGTGCTTTTATTCTGTGAGGAAGAAGACATAAATGATTGCCCTTGAAATAAGAAGGAAAGGGACCCCAAAGCCTTTTCTGATATAAGCCATTCACTGGTGAGGGAAATACCTGTGATCCAGTGCATGAGGTTACCATTATCATCATCAGAAAAAACACAAAGAGAAACAGTCACAGCATAGAGCAAATCTCAAGAACTCCGGAAGTCATAAGAACGGTTGAATAAACTACATCAGACATCATACTTCACTACCTGACGACTGACATTCACAAGTGAAACTTTACAGGATGGCAGGCATGCTTCTTGTTTCAATTGTGCGTGCCTTCTTATTGTGATAGAAGAAGCTTTGTAGGCCATCCAAAGTGCTGCATATACCAGTCTGGGAGCTTCTTCTGTATGCTGTTATTTAAGTTGCTTAAACCTTTGTACCAAAGTTTATAATTGCACTTGCAAAGCCAAGCCAATCTACTCCTCCAACTAATCAAAATACTCAAAAACCAGTGGGAGAACACTTTAACCTGTCTGGTCATTCAGTGACAGACCTGCGGGTGGCTATATTACAACAGAAAAACTTCAAAAACAGACTCCAACGAGAGACTGCTGAGCTAGAATTTATATGCAAACTAGACACAATCAACTCCGGTTTGAATAAGGACTGGGAATGGCTGAGCCATTACAAACATTGAATCTATCTCCCCTTGTAAGTATTCTCACACTTCTTATCAAACTGTCTGTACTGGGCTAGCTTGATTATCACTTCAAAAGGTTTTTTTCTCTTAATTAATTGGCCTCTCAGAGTTGGTAAGACAACTCCCACCTGTTTATGCTCTCTGTATGTGTGTATATATATATGTATATGTGTGTGTGTGTGTGTGTATATGTATATGTGTGTGTGTGTGTGTGTATGTATATATATATATATATATCTCCTCAATATATG